GCCACGCAAAAAACCCACGCCAGATTTCCTGGCATACACTAAGCCCCGCAGGGCCATACGGCAGGGGGAAACAATTGGCGGACCCCCCCCGCTCCCCCAAAGTCAAAGCTGGCACGCGCGGGGGAGGCTGCGGTAGAAGTGCAACTCACCAGGCCCACCGCAGACTTTGAACTTTGGGGGGGGGATGGGGGGAGGCGCTGACCGATGCATGTGGCATGCGTCTTGGCTGTCTTTCCCGAGGCCTGCAGGCAGGGTGGCGCCGTTTGTGTCCTGGTCCAGCGCTCTCGTTCCTCCCCCCCCCCTTTGGGCGCGGCTCCAGCCGCCCCGCGCCCGCCCAGCGTTGGCGCGCCCCCTGCCGCCTCGCCGCCCCCTCCCGCCGCCCACCAGCGGCGCTGCCTCGGCCTCCCCTCGCCCGCCCCACTGTGGCATGGCCCTCCGCCCGTGCTGCCCTCCGCCCCGCCGCCCCTTCCCCCTGGGCGCGGCCTCGGCCGCCCCCCCCGCCCGCGCCCCTGCCCTTGGCGCGGCCTCGCTCCCCGGCCCCCCGCCGCCCTGTGGGAGCAGCGCCCGTGCCCCTGCTGCCCCGCCCGCCCTCCCCCCCCCGCCCGCCCCCCTCGTCCTGTGAGGTCTTGGGGGGTCTGGCGGGAGGCCCGAAGTACACGGAAAGGTCTGGGGAGGGCTTTGGGGTGGGGCGACGGGGCTCAGGGCGGCCTTTGGGACTCCCTCAGGTGAGCACGCTGTCCCACCCCCTTTGCTCACTCTTTGTGATCTTCCTTCACGCCCCTCCGCTGCTGGACGCCCAGCGCCTGCCCCGCAGCTCCGCCGCTCGCCCCGCTGCCTCCCCGCCGCCACGGCGCCGCGGGGCGCCCCCGCCCCGCCGCTGCCCCGTGAGGGGCCGGCCCTTCCTCCTGCCCTGTGCTTGCGCCTGCTGGGCGCGTGCGCGGCCTGCCGCGCAGGCGTTTGACGGCGAGGAGGTGCTCTCGCCCGCGACGACCGAACAGCGTGCGTGTGTGTGTGTGTGTGTGTGTGTGTGTGTGTGTGTGTGTGTGTGTGTGTGTGTGTGTGTGTGTGTGTGTGTGTGTGTGTGTGTGTGTGTGTGTGTGTGTGTGTGTGTGTGTGTGTGTGTGTGTGTGTGCGTGCTGTCGGTGCGTGTGCGCGTGGCGTGCGTGCGGTGGCGTGCGGTGCGGCGTGCGTGCGTGCGTGCGCGTGTTGTGTGTGTGTGTGTGTGTGTGTGTGTGTGTGTGTGTGTGTGTGTGTGTGTGTGTGTGTGTGTGTGCGTGCGTGCGTGCGTGCGTGCGCGCGCGCGTGTGTGTGTGTGTGCGTGTGTGTGTCGTGTGTGTGCGTGTTGTGTGCGTGGTGTGTGTGTGTGTGTGTGTGTGTGTGTGGTGTGTGTGGTGTGTGCGTGCGTGCGTGCGTTGGCGGTGCGTGCGTGTGTGTGTGTGGTTGTGCGCGCAAGTGCGAGACGAGCAGGCATTTAGCGTTACAGTGACAGGGACAGAGAGAGAGAGAGAGAGAAAGAATGAGAGAGAGAGAGAGAGACAAACAAGCAAACAACACATATGAGGGAGGGAGGGCGGGATGGCGGGAGGAGGCAGCAGGAGGAGGAAGCGAAGGACTTGAGGAACATCAATTAGGTTTGACGTTTGTTTGGGTAGATCGATCAGGTTTGAGGTTGTTTCTGGGGAGGGTCCCTGGGGTCCGCATCCTCTCCTCCCTCCGCCCTCCTCCCTCCCCCTGTTCTCCCTCATCCCCCGTCCATCCCCGCCACTCCCCCCTGCTCCTTCCTTCTCCCTCCTCCCCCTCCCCTTCCCGCCCCCTTCGAGGTCGAGACCCTGCTCCTGAGCCTGCACATGGACACATCGCCCGTGCTCCCCCAGCCGCCCGCGATCGCCCTGCCTCTCCGTGGGGCGGACGCGCAACGCAAGCAACTAGCACGGGGGAGATGTCCAGAACAAAAACCCTGGGCGCCAGGGCCACATGCGCAGTTCTGACGCTTCGCTTTTAGACTTAGAAGCAGTCTGACAGCCAGCACATATTGTTATTCGTATTGAGATTATTCATATTATTTGCATTCGTATTACTATGATTCGCATTGTTAGTTCTACTAGTAGTAGAATGATTAGGACTATGATCATGATTAGTCGTGTCATTACTATCATTAGTCTTCTATTTATTCTCCTTATGCTGGTTCTTCTTCTTCTTGGGAGCATTCGTATTCATAATCGTAGTCGGATGATTTCCTTTTCCCCCTTCACAGCCAGTCAAAGTAGCCTCAGCAGGAAAAAGGAGGCTCTGCAGCCGTCGCGCCCAGAGATAGCACTGTCAGACCATAGAGAGGCGCGCGTCCCCACCCGCGCATTCGGTAGCGATGCTCACGTGAGCTCCCCCCTTCTCAGGTGGGCCCTCCTGGGCCTCCCTTGGGCCCTCCCGGAGCCACGCTGAGGCCTGGGGAGGCCATCGGAAGCGACCGAGTTGGGACGTATTTTGGGTTTGCGTGACGTTTTTTTTTTTTTGGTGGGGGGGGGCGAAGGCCGCTCGTATCCGTCTTGAAGCGGTGATCTCTTGGAGCATGGTGGAAACCATCTTGAGCATCTTGCGCTATCTTGAGGCCATATTGTGTTATCTTGAGGCCATATTGTGCTATATTGAGCTTTCTTTGGCGCTCTAACTGCCCGCGAACCCCTAGGTCCAGACCCAGGGGAATGGGGCAATGGGAGATCAAGCTACCCCAAGCCACAAGCCGTGTCGCTCACTCCCCCTGCCCTCCCAACATTTGAAGGCAGCATCCGAGCCTGGGGCCCCGACCCCACTGAGCCCACGAGTCCCGTCGGAAGCACAGAGCAGACAATATGAGGGCACCCCCGCTGTCCCTATCACAACCAATGCAATGTGATCGCGGGGCGCCCAGGCATGATCCAGATTTTTGCCGCAAATTGCGATTCGGCTTGTTTTCCATTACCACCACGATAAGTTGGAGGGGGAAGGGGGTCCTCCTCCTTCTCCTCCTCTTCGTCCTCCTCCTCCTCGTCCTCCACCTCCCTCCCCTCCAACTTCTGGTGGTGGTGGTGGTGGTGGAAAGCAGGCCCATCATGAGGGCCCTTCCGCCGTTCCTGCTGAAAACCAATGCAAGTTCAGCACGCGCGGACCTTGGGCGCCGCCCCGCGTCTTCGGGGAAGGCTTGAAAGAACTTCTCAGTTGGCCGGGGAACTTCCGAGCCTTCTGAGAAGGCCCGCCCCTTCTCACTTCCCCCCCCAAGCTCGCCGCCGACTAGAGATCCTTGCAAACTGCGGGGAGCGATGGATCGTGGTGTGTTAGTTCGCATGCGGAGTGAACGCGGAGTTCTCCGCGTACTTTTCGTCGGTTGTACTCGTGCGCCTGCCGCTCACGTTCTTCAGCGCGTCGACATTCCGTGCGAGCCGCGGGCGAGCACGCTGCGCATACGCTGCTGCAGCCTGCATATCGAAGCAGCTGCCCGCTCGCTGTGTGGCCCCACTTTCGCAGGGCACGGCGGGCAGCAAGAACGTGCGCCGCGCCCAAGCGGGAGCGACCTTTCAGGAGAATGAGCGCGTCTTCCAGGCGAGGGCAGCAGGCCGCCCCTTCGAGCGCGGCCCCTCTTCCCGTGAGACCTGCTGGTCAAAGACACGCGGTGCGTCCAAGCGGGAATTCGAATTTCACGCAACATCCGCGCCGAATTCGAGCAACGACGATATGATGCTTGTTTTTTGTCTTTTCCCTATCTCTCTCTCTCGCCAGCGCGCGCCGCCCCTCTTCCGACGGGCGTGCCGAGCCACAAGCATGCGCCGCGCTCATTCGAGATCACAGCTTTCGTGGAACATCTGCGCCGCGACTGGGCGACTGGCAGTTCGCCCCTTCTCGCGCGCGATGTGTGCCGGGTCCCACTCTGGCCATGCATTATACGGCGTGCAGACCAGTTCGTTCATATTGACATGCAGCACGTTTGCGTTTTCCTTTTAAGTATCTGATGGTTCAAGTGGAAGGGCCTCTTGGGGAGCGTCATGTGGCAATGTTGAGGGGACTTAAACTTCGATTTTCCAAGCAGCGTTTCCACTTCTGCTTTCCTACGGTGTTTGCAAGCCAAGTGGCATCGGTTGCCAGGATTTGCACCCATGAAGTCCCATCCATCAAGGCTCCCAGCGCCATCCTCGTGGCGGGCGGAGGAGGAGGAGGAGGAGGAGGAGGAGGAGGAGGAGGAGGAGGAGGAGTTCCACAGTCTGAGGTCGCCCGCACATGGGGCTCCACCGATGGTGCAGGGCGTAACTCCCACCCGATCTACAGGCCGCCGGAGATCGCTCCAATCCTTTCTCTCCTCCTATACGTCTTTGTCCCTTCCCCCTCTCCCTTCCGCCCTCTACCTTCTTCTACCCTCTACCTCTACCTCGACCTCCCTCCCCTATACCCTATACCCTATACCCTCTACCCTCTACCCTCTGCCTCTACCTCTACCTCCCTCCCTCCCCTCCACACTCCCTCCCTCCCTCTACCGTCTACCTCTGCCTCTACCTCCCTCTTGCTCGCCTCCCTCCCCGCTACACTCTTCCTCCTGATGCAGCTCTTTCCTCTTTCGCTTCCGCCCCATTCACGTGCTTAGTCGCTCCCCCTTTCCTCTACTCTCCTCCCTCCCGCGGGCAGAGTCAGCCCCAGATCTGTCCTCGTGTGCGTTCTGGCAGGAATTTCGAGGCGGAGCCAGCCCTGAGGCCCGCGACGGGCAAAACACATCCGAACCATTGATGCTCCTCCTCCTCCTCCTCCACCTCCTTCTCCTCCTCTTCCTCCTCCTCCTCTTCCTCCTCCTCCTCCTCCTCTTCCTTCTTCTCTTCCTCATCCCCCCCTCTTTTCCTGCTGCTCCACCCGTTTCTCTTCCTCCTCCTCCTCTTCCTCCACCCTTTTCCTCCTCCACCCTTTTCCTCCTTCACCCTTTTCGTCCTTCTCCTCCTCTCCCCTTCCCCTCTCTGTGCAGCTGTGGTGGGGCTGGGGGGGGGGAGCACGGCACATCGCACCTGCTGAAGCTGTACCAGACCTTCCACGCCCTGGTGATGACCGAGCTGGAGGACGCAAGCCCCGGCCGGGGCTCCGCTGTGGGGAAGGGCAGGCGTCAGTGGAGGCAGCGGTACCGATACCGCTACCCTCCCGTCGTTTTAATTTTTTGGGGGCTTTTTGTCGCAAACTGGAACGTATTATACATTACCAGTGGCGGGTTGTTTTTCAATCTCACGACTTTTAAGGGTCAGGGACGACGTCGGGGTGGTGTGGTGCATACTTTTCCCCCGCTTTCCAAGGACAACGAAAAATGTATATACCAGGATCCCGTACACGCCATAATCTGCGTTCCTGTGCGAATTTCAGCGCAGGGTCGGGAAAGGCGTCGGTGTATAGAGTTCGTTTCCCTATCTTGGGAGGCCCTCGTTGCCGCAGCCGGATTCGCTTTGAAGTCCCGGTCAGAACGCACCCCCGGGAGAGGTCCGCGGAGTAGCGGTACGGTAGGGGGACATACTTCATGGATTTCCTTTTTTTCCCAAAAGTTCGAAGTTGGCACACGCGGAGGAGACTGCGGTCGAAGTGCAACCCATCAGACCCGCCGCCAATTCTCCACAGTGGGGGGAGGGGGAGGCGTTGACCGATGAGTGTGGCACGAGTGTTCGCTATTTTTTCCGAGGCCTGCATGGGTACTTTTGGGCCTCCCCAGGGAGGTGCCCCAAGGTCCACGTCCGTGGACACAGACCACCACGCCGGGTGTTCCTCCGCTCGGCCCCCGAGGCCCTCACCTGGCCACCGCGGGTCGCCAGGAAATAGCCTGGGACGGGCCACCGCGGAGGAGGAGGAGGAGGAGGAGGAGGAGGAGGAGGAGGAGGAGGAGGAGGAGGAGGAGGAGGAGGAGGAGGAGGAGGAGGAGGAGGAGGAGGGTGAGGTGAGGAAGGAGGAGGAGGGGAGGAGAGGGGGCGGAGGAGGAGGAGCAGCAGCAGCGGCCGCGGGCCACCGCGGGTTCGCTTGTTCCGTTCGTCCAGGGCCGCAACGAGGGTGCGAAGTCCGTCGCGCCTCGCGCTTCGCGGCCTGGGCGATGTGTCGAACGAGGCGCGAGCCCCTCAGCCTCTGCGGGAAGGAGGAGGAGGAGGAGGATGAGGAGGAGGAGGAGGATGAGGAGGAGGAGGAGGAGGAGGAAGGAGGAGGAGGAGGAGGGTGAGGAGGGGGATGGGGGGGGGCCGGGCGGCGCGAAGGCGCGAGGAGAACCGGGCTCCGCGCGCCCCGCGGAGCGCGCAGCGCGAAGAGATGGCTGCCCCAGCTCGCTCGCTCCCGATCTCCGCTCTCGTGCCCTCCCTCCGAGGCGGGGACTTGTTCCACAGCGAAAGGCACCGCCTGGGTGATCCATCCGCGGTTGATCTGGATATGCAGTGGAGGCCCATGCCAAGAAACACCCTACTTGCCTCCAGGGAGCCCTGGGTTTTCTCGGATTTCGATGGTTCTGCCATGGAAAGCGTGACGTTCCCACACCAAGAATGAGTGGACGTCCTGGGGTCTCAGGGTTGGGCTTCTTGTGGAAGGCTTCGTGTGGACCCGCCTCCGCTGCAGGCTCGGCTCCCTGGGGGCTCAACTGCACATCCGGGTCCACCGCCCGCCGGAGCTCTGGGACGTCGGTGCCCAGGCGGTGGATGTGGATACGTTCACGTCTCTCGGGTCGGGCGAAAGGGGGGTTTGGGAAAGGGGGGGTTACGAAATCTGCTGCATGCAGCTGGTTTCGGCCCGCCGCCGAGGGGCCCATTCCTCGATACATGGGCGCCTCCCGGCGCCGGGAGGCGCCGGGAAAATCAGCTACGTGAGCTGATTCTCCCCCCCCCCCTTTGCTATCCCCCCCTTTCGCCCAGCCCGAGTCTCGCGCCCCCTCCAGGAGGACGCCGAGGAGGAGGTCGAGGCCGAGGTGGCCCGACGCGCCTGCTTCTCTACCGCCGCCGCCGGCGAAGGGGCGCGTGCGGCCCCTCCACGGCGTGCCTCGCCCCGCCCTCGCCCGCTTTCCCCTCCTGCCTGCCTCGTCCTGCCTCTGCCTCCTCCTCCTCCTCCTCCTCCTCCTCCTCCTCCTCCTCCTCCCTCCTCCTCCTCCTCCTCCTCCTCCTCCTCCTCTCCTCCTCACTCCTCCTCCTCCTCCCTCTCCTCCTCCTCCTCTCCTCCTCCTCCTCCTCCTCCTCCTCTTCCTCCTCCTCCCCTCCTCCTCCTCCTCCTCGCTCCTCCCTCCTCCTCCTCCTCCTCCTCCTCCTCCTCTCCTCCTCCTCCCTCCCTCCCCCCTCCCTCTCCCTCCTCCTCTCCTCCTCCTCCTCCTCCTCCTCCTCCTCCTCCTCCTCTTCCTCCTCCTCCTCCCTCCTCCTCCTCCTCCTCCTCCTCCTCCTCCTCCTCCTCCTCCTCCTCCTTATCTCCTCTCTCACCTCCTCCCCCCTTCTGCCTCCTGCTCCTGTCTCTTCGCGCAAGCCTTGACTGGTGTCGAGGAGTGCCGTTTTGCTGCGTGCGTGTGCGTGCGTGCGCGTGCGTGCGTGCGTGCGTGCGTGCGTGCGTGCGTGTGTATGTGTGTGTGTGTGAATGCGTGTGTGTGTGTGTGTGTGTGTGTGTGTGTGTGTGTGTGTGTGTGGGTGTGTGTGTGTGTGTGTGTGTGTGTGTGTGTGTGTGTGTGTGTGTGTGTGTGTGTGTGTGTGAGGCTGCTCCTTCTGCCTTGTTCCCCCTCTTGCACACCGGCCAATTCGCGTATCGGTCGCCCCGAATCGCTGCCTGCTGGAGCGGCTCCTCTGCCTCGCAGCCGACGGAACAGTTATGCGTTGTCCTCGAAACATGTTTATCGCACGAAGGCTGGTCCATGAGGTAAGCTGGCATTGGCTTCATATACGGATATTTGAATTTGCGCCGTGTCGCCACCATGCCAGCATGGGACGACAACCTCCAGTACATTTTACCTGCAACAGTGATGTAATGGTTTGCTGATTCATCGTTTTGCCGATCGGCACGGGCCCTCGCACCCCCCCCGTCCTTACCCTATGGAGTAGTTTTTTGCTGTTTTTTGGGCGCCTGTTTCCAGCAAGGGGGTCTCCCCCCGCAGGACACACTGCTGCAAGCAGTCGCATTAAGCAGAGGTATGGAGCCAGACCCGCCTCCCTCCCCGCCTTTCCGCCCAATGTCGACACGCCGAAAAAGACAACGCTCACGATGCAGCCGCCCGTCCCTTTCCTTCCTCTTCCTCTCCTCCTTCGTTTCCCATGCGCGCACCGTGCCCACTTCTGTCGTGCAGACGCTTCGGCGCCCCTTCCGCGGCTCCTCACTGGCGCCACGCACGCGCGTAGCCGTTAGCCGCAGAGGAGGAAGAGGGGCTGTGGGAGGAAGAAGCGAAGTGGTAGTCAGGGGGGACGACGATGATAAGGAGGAGGAGGCGGAGGAGGGGGAGGGAGGACGAGGACGAGGCGGTGGAGTTATGGGCAAGACATCGGGGGAACGCATGCAGGAGGAGGAGGAGGAGGAGGAGGAGGAGGAGGAGGAGGAGGAGGAGGAGGAGGAGGAGGAGTAGGAGGATGAAGGAGGAGGAGGAGCGGGAAAACGAGGAGGAGGCGGGGGACTAGGACCCGAGGAAGAGGAGGGAAGGAGGCTGTCCCGTCGGGCCAGTCTCACGCAGGCGGGACGCTACGTGCTCACGCCGATTCGGTTGCTTGATGCACGCGCTCAATCTTCCTCGTTATGCAGGGTATGGTTTCGTCGCTGTGTTGCCGGTGTGCATTGCGCAGTCGAAGTATTGGCGACGGCACGCCGCCCTCGCGTTTACAACCTTCGGTCAGTTGTTCGTGCCAGTATTTGCTTGCGTCTGCGCCCGCAGGTCGCGAGGCTGGAGGCGGCGGGCGACATTCAGGGCGCCGCGGCTCTGTCCGAGAAACCGCTGGACGTGGACGTGGTGAGGCAGCCGGACCATTTCCCGCGGCGGGGATGAGGAGAAAGACATGATCAGCGAGACTGAGGAGGAGGAGGAGGAGGAGATGGCGGAGGAGGAGGATGAGGAGGAGGATGCAGAGGGGATGATGATGATGAGGAGGAGGAGGAGGAGCAGGAGGAGGAGGAGGAGGAGGAGGAGGAGTAGGAGGAGGAGGAGGAGGAGGAGGGATGAGAAGGAACATGATGACGAGGAGGAAAAGGAGGATCTTCGTTCGGCCGCAAGCCAGGTGAAAGTTGCGAGGGAGGTGAAGGTGGAGACCATGATCAATCCAGGGCGGGCGCGGGCGGCCAGCAGCAGTACGCAGACCCCCACTCCAGAGGGTGGTCATTACGGGGAGGGGGGAAGGCTTCTTAGAAGCACCCTGCAGCTTAGGAGGCGCGGGCCTTATCTGCAGATGTCACGCCGGCCGTCTAAGAAGCAACCTCCCTTTGAGAAGCCTTCCCCCCTCCGCCTACCCCCGCGTGCTCGCGGCCATCAGGGAACGAGGATGGATCCAGGGTCGGGATCGAGAGAGGAGGGCTCACAGGGGGAGAATCCGAAGTCGGGCGAGGGGATCCATCTAGGCCTCCCAGATGGGGTCCGAGTAGATGGGGTCGGAGGATCGCGCCGCATCGCCAACGTATCGCCATGCATCGCCATCTGCTCCGATCCCATCCAGGAGGCCTCTACAGTCGGGGCGCTGAAGAAGGAACCCTTTTCGTTGGGGAGGGGCTCGGTGTTCCTTCATTGTTCCACACCTTGCCCAACGTTTTCCTGAAGTTTTTGGTGGGAAGTCGAAGGTTAACTTATGAAACAAAGGGGCTGCGTTCCTTATTCAGGGTTCCTTAGGTCAATGCCCCGACTGTAGTCCAGGGGCCGAAGGTCCACGACCTGTTTGGGAGGCTGGATCTCCGCCGGCATCCCCGCTTCTCCCACCCTGCGCCCCGGCGCCTCCCCCGGAACATCCCCCCGTGAAGATCGAGCCGCCGCCTCCTCCTCCCCCCAGGAGGAAAGAACACACGGGCACAACAGAACTGCGATCCCCAGGAGGATAGGGAACATGTGGGAAGTGGAGGGGAGTACGAACATCCAGAAGCATATGCAGAATCATAGGGGATCCTGAGATTTGTGTGAATACGTGCGTGTGTGTGTGTGTGTGTGTGTGTGTGTGTGTGTGTGTGTGTGTGTGTGTGTACGTACGCGCGTGTGTGTGTGTGTGTGTGTGTGTGTGTGTGTTTGTGTCTGTGTGTGTGTGGTGTGTGTTTGTGTGTGTGTGTGTGTGTGTGTGTGTGTTTGTGTCTGTCTGTGTGTGTGTGTGTGTTTGTGTCTGTGTGTGAGTGTGTTTGTGTGTGTATGTGTATGTGTGTACGTTTGTGTGTGTGTGTATGTGTGTATGTGTGTATGTGTGTGTATGTACGCGTGTGTGTGTGTGTGTGTGTGTGTGTGTGTGTGTGTGTGTGTGTGTGTGTGTGTGTGTGTGTGTGTGTGTGTGTGTGTGTGTGTGTGTGCGCGTTTTTTGTGTATGTCCCTGGGCCCCTTCGTCCTCCTCCTCCTCCTCGCCTCGCCCGCCTCGCTGTGCGCCTTGCGCTCCGAGGGAGATGGAAAGGACCAGTCGCTCCGTCAAGCGAGTCTTGCCCGACGTGGGCCCTCTCTCTGCTGTCGCGGCCCGTGTCCCCTTGGCACTCCTGGAGACCGTCTCCCCCCTCTACACGGCCCCACTTCTTCCCGAGGGACCTCCAGCTGGAACAGAAGAGGGTGTCGCATCGGCGCGCGACGTGGGCCCGATCCTGGGGAGGGGAGGAGGAGGAGGAGGAGGAGGAGGAGGAGGAGGAGGAGGAGGAGGAGGAGGAGGAGGAGGAGGAAGAGGAGGAGGAGGAGGAGGAGGAGGAGGAGGAGGAGGAGGAGGAGGAGGAGGAGGAGGAGCGACGAGGAGGAGGACGACGAGGAGGAAAAGGGAAGGGGGGGCCCGCTCTGGCCCGGGCCCGCGCTCGGCGCGCGCTCCGCCGCTCGCTGGCCCGGACGGTGTCCTCGGCGGTGCCGCCTGCCTCCTGGGCCTCCCAGAGTCAGGAGGGCAAAAACACACAGACACAATTAATCTTAAGTCGGGCGTGTCCCCCTACAGGAGGATTTTCGACGAAAAATGAAAGATCCCCAAAATGTTCAAACAATCGTTCAACAAAAGTCTGGGGACTATTTTTTCAGTTTTTTCAGTTGTTTTTTTTTATACCTTTTTAGTATATTTTTGGGGTATTTTTCATTTTTCGTCGAAAATCCCTCTAGGGGGACACGCCCGACATAAAATTAATCGTCGACTCCCGAGGAAATGAGGGGAAAATCTGGGGAGTGGGGGGGAAGACAAAGACCCAGAACACATGGGAAAAGATTGGGAATCCTGTTATGTGTGTGTGTGTGTGTGTGTGTGTATCTGGGTGTCCCAGGGCCCCTTCAAAGATGGGGTCGGAGTGGATGTCACCACCCACCAGGCCACCCCGACCCAACCCGAGGGCGGCTGAGGCGGAGGGGGCGGCGGAGGCGGCGCGGGCGCGTGCTGCGCGGGGCATCTGCGAGGACGAAGCGCCGCGTCCGCGAGCGAAGGGCAGGTCCCGGGGGCGCGGCCCGCGGGGCCGCGGCCGCGGAGCTGCTCTGCGCCCGCGTTCGGATGCCGCCAGAAGTGGCCCCTGGCCCAAGATGTCCAGGGAGGTCCCCGCTCACCGCCCACCAAGCCACCCCAAGTCAACCCGAAGGCCTCAATTCGCCCTCCATCTCCAGTGGGGTGGGTGTGGGGGGGGGGGTCGGGGAACAGCGACCAAAAACACATCTGGAGCCCATACCCTCCCCCAGCCCGAAACGCGGGTCTTCGGGTTGGGTTGGGGGGGTCTGGTAGGTAGTCAGGATGGGGTCGGAGGATCGCGCCGCATCGCCGATGCATCGGCGATGCGGCTCGATGTGGATCCCGATTTTCTCCACGCCGACATCGGCGATGCATCGCCGACGTCGCCGATGCATCGCCGATGCATCGGCGATGCGGCACGATTCTCCGACCCCATCTACTCGGACCCCATCGAGGAGTCCTCTACTGTTGGCCGTCCGGCCCAGCCCAGCAAATCTGGTCACCTACAGGCAAAGGTGGGTGGAGGGGTTGCTTAGACAGATCTTGAACTGGGGTGACTGCGAGGAGACTGTCGACTGGGACTCCTTTCTTTGGATTACTTTGAGATTCTGCTCTTTATCGCGTATAGAACTGGCCCAGACCATGTTTGTTATCATTCAGAGGGAGATGCGTTCCGTGAACATGCACTACGTCACCGCCGACGATCTGAATAATTTCTATTACGCCCGGTACAGACTATGCCCCATCAAGTCGTTCAGCAGTGCAGACATCGATTTCAAGAGGCTCCCGCTTTCCAGGTATCCGGCTTCGTTGCCGCGCGAGTCCGCCAGAGCGCGTGGTCTGGCAGGCGCCTGGGTGAGGGGGCGGCAGCGGGGGGTACGGGGCTCTCGACATCCAGAGCTTCCGATGCCGGCGCCACGCGACCTCGGCACGCCAGGGGCGCGGCCAAGCGAGTCAGCGCATGCTGGGTTCGATGCTTCGGTGGCCCCTTACCAGATGCGTCATGGACGAGAGGAGCTTGCACATGTTGTGCAACGGGGGGGTCTTGCAAGGTGTCGGGTAAGTGTGGTGCAAGCTTTGTTTTTTCGATCACGATGCTCCCATGGCGTGCGGCAGCTGCTGCTCTGCAGGGGGCCAGAATGTCAAGAGAGCGAGGGCCCGACACATGAGCTGGGGCCGCAGGGACAGCCTCGGAGCGGCTGCTGCGTGAGCCAGAGCAGCGGACCCTTCCTGTCGGGCAAAACGCTTGCTTGCCCAGAACGGTGCTGGGCCCGCGCCAAGTTGCGACTGTGGGAGGCGGATCAGCGGCAAGGGAGAGAGAGAGAGAGAGAGAGAGAAAAAAAAAAAGGAGAGGAATACGGCAGCTTCCCGTCATGTTGACGAGGCGGCCACCGTGGGTGTTCTAGGTTCCACGCCTGCAGTGGCCCAGGATCGGCCGATCTGTGATCGAAATGCCTCCGCTCGTTCAAGGTTGAACGATATACGCGTTGTCAGAAACCAACGCCGGGGTCGTCTCGACACGAACTTGCCGCAGGGGGGGATCGATGACGCTATGCACAAACCGCCGCAAGCGCGGTGGCGGATTACGCCACCGACTTCACCGAGCTAGTGCAGCGGTTCACTCAGCTGCTCAACCCCCTTCTGCATCTCCAGCAGTCGCTGCAGGCTAGACGTTAGCAAAGAGCAAACCCGGCGGGCCAAAACATATAATATCAGAGGACATGCATATCTACCATCAAATATCCCAGGTAATTACCGCTTTGGTTTCGAAAGTGGTTCGATATTCCTCCGGCTCTCCCATATGTTCCCAACCATCCCGTCGCGTTGGGTCTTCGTGTTGATTCGCAGCGCCCCGCGTTTCTCGTCCTCCCGCTGCCCCCTTCCGTCCCTGCCTCTGCCCTTCTCATGCCCATTTCGGCACGTCCCTCATTCTTCTTGGCCCCAAAGGCGAAGGGGGGCTCCACCGAAGCCCCCAAAGGGTGGGGCGGCCGCACATTGCGTCCCCCAGCGTATTTTGGTGCACCTCTCGCACGCTTCGTGGCCCCACAGGGAGCTCCACCGAAGCAACCACGGGGGGGGGGGAGGCACATGGCGTTCCCCCGCTCATGTCGGCGCATTCCTCGCATGTTTCTTCGCCCCGAAGGAAGCTCCACCGAAGCCACCGGAGGAGAGGGGGCGCACAGCGACCTCCAGCCCATGTCCATTTCGGCACACCCCTTACACGTTCTGCATGCCCCGTGCTGCCGGGAGCTCCACCGAAGTCCCCCGTGCGGGGGGGGGGCATTTAGGCGCACCCCTCACGCGGTTTGCTGCGCCGTGCAGTGCAAATCCATCGTAAAGACGGGCAACCTTCCCGAATGGCACCCTCGCGTCCTCAGAGTTGTTCGGCAGCGCGCCGCCAGAAGAGCTTCAACTGGGGCGTCCACGGACCCTCCAAGGGTCATTGCGGCCTTACAGCGCGTCCTCACGGCAGATTTTGACCGTAGGGAGTTCCACCGAAGCCCCCTGGGGGGAGGGGCGCAGAGCGTCTCTCAGCCCACCCCGGCACGGCCTCACTGGATACATTTCGGGAGCCTTGAGACGGGGGTCAATGCAAACGGGGGTCAGCCAGGGCGCCAGATCCTGCAGGATCCTGCGAAGACCCCGTCTGGCGGACCCGGGTTAGCGAGCCGCTCGTGGCCGCGAGGCGACTTCGCATATTGGCTGACCTGGGTTTGCGAAGATCTGCGTTGCAGTTTTTTATTCCTGCATTGCAGTTTTTGGTTTCCTGCTGACCCCGGTCTGGATTGACCCGGGTCAGAAGATCAAGCATTGACACGCGTACTTCCGCCAGTGCTGACGCACCCCTCATGCGAGCCCCGCCTGCGGCCCCAGTGGGAAGGCTTGCGTGTCTTCCCCGCGCCTCTCGGCGCACCCCCCGCGTTTCGCGCCCCACTTAGTGGCCTCCACGTCCGGCCTCAGCTGGAAAGCTGCATGCGGTTCCCCGCTTATTTCGGCACATTCCGCACACGGGCCCCACACATTTCCGGCAAAGGAGGCTCATCACCAGCGTTGCTTCGGCAGCCTAATTTTCCCTTGGCTTTTTTTGTTTGTGCTTCTAGGCGGAGCTGAGGCTCGAAAGGGGCTTGAATCCTTATGCAAGGTGCGCCCTTGCAGAACCTGGACCCTACAGGGGAAGCTAAATTCATGAGCTCGGCACCCTGCTCAAGACGAGCGGATGCCTCCGACGACCAGCTCTTCGCCCTCCCCCGAAGGCCTCCACCCCTTCCCCTGGGGCCAGACCAGCTTTCTTTCCACCCCGATGGGCTTCTGTTGGCGGCTCCGGGGCCCAGAAACGGCCCTCGGGACGCCGACCATCGCGAGCCATGCCTGGCGCTCTGTCTGGCCGGGCCGCCGAGGGCCTGCCTGCCGCGCGAGCCCCCCTGCAGGAGAGCCTGCCCAGCGCGGAGTTCTGGGAGAGCCTGGACCGGACCGCCTCCTTCCCCCGCAGGATCTCGGGCGTTGCTAGAAGTACCCCTGGCCCAGGGTGCCCAGCTTTTCTCGCTCCATTGGGGAGCTCCTGTGGCCCTCTGGGCCTCCGGAGGGGCGCTCTAGAGGCCGTTTGGGCTACCCTGAGAATCCTGGGGGCACTTTGGCCCAGGGGCATTTCTAGCAACACCCGCAGGATCACCTTCGAGTTCTTCACGATGCAGTCGGCGCGCGTGTACCTCTACGGAGACCCGCCCTCCGAGAACCGGGGGGCCGCCCCTTCTGGAAGACCCGGCAGGCCAGGGGTGCAGGGGTGGAGGCCTCGTGCCCCCCGTGTTCAGTCGGGCGTGCCCCTCTACAGGAGGAGTATGCAAAGATAGTAGAAAATAGTCTGGGGACGATGCTTTGCGTATTTCTGATTTTTTATGATTCTGTTTGGAGTGTCTTTAATTTTTCGTGCAAGATCCGCCGGTAGAGGGACATGCCCGACCTGAGACTCGTGCACATGTACCCTCGTGCCCTGTTCGCACCGAGCGCGTTCCGCAGCTCGCGCGGTGCCCCTCGGACGGGGCCAGGACGAGGACGACTGTCCGTCCCGGAGCGCTCCGGAACGCTCTCGGAGCGTCTCGAAGCGCTCCGAGAAGGCCGCGGCGCCCGATACATCCTCCAGAGTCGCCGGATCTCAGAGTAGTCGGAAACTGGAGCATACACACATACATACATACATACATACATACATACATACATACATACATACATACATACATTCATACATTCATACATACATACATACATACATACATACATGCATGCATGCATACATACATACATACATACAAACATACAAACATGCACACATGCAAGCATACAAACATACAAACATACAAACATACAAACATACAAACATACAAACATACAGACATACAGACAGACAGACAGACAGACAGACAGACAGACAGACAGACATACACACATACATTCATACACACATACATACATACATACATACAAACATACAAACATACAAACATACAAACATACATACATACATACATACATACATACATACAAACAAACATACAAACATACAAACATACAAACATACAAACATACAAACATACAAACATACATACATACATACATACAGACAGACAGACAGACAGACAGACAGACAGACATACATACATACATATACATACATACATACATACATACATACATACATACATACATACATACATACATACATACATTACATACATACATACATACATACATACATACATACATACATACATACATACATACATACATACATAACATACATACATACATACATACATACATACATACATACATACATACATACATACATACATACATACACACATACATATATATATGTATATTTCGAGTGGCGGGCGGTTTTTCAATCCCAGGACTATTTTGAGGGTCGGGGACGACGTCGGGGTGGTGTGATGTATACTTTTTTCCCCATTTTCCCCGGGAAACAACGAAGAATGTAAACACCAGGATCCCGCACACACCAGGATCCGCGTTCCCGTGCGAATTTCAGCGCAGGGTCGGAAAACGCGTCGGCGTACATATATATATATATATATATATATATATGTATATATATATGTATATATATATATATATGTTGAGAGCTCGCTTTCCTAGGTAGGGCCAGCCCGCACAGCGAAGGATGCGCAAACGTCCAGGGTTGCCCTCGCATCCGTCCCCCTCGGCCCATCCTTGGCCGCCCTCGCCGCCCGCGGAGTGTCGACATGGCCTTCCGAGGTCCTTGCAGCCTTGCAGTCAGGGAGGGGCTCGGTGTTCCTTGATTGTTTTACAGCTTGGCTTGGGTTTTCCTGAGGTTTTCGATGTGAAATCGAAGCTTAACTTTTGGGATCAAGGGGCCTCGTTCCTTATTTAAGGTTCCTTAGGTCAACGCCCCGACTGTACCGCGCATCCTTATCCTACGGGTCGACGGTGCCCTTAAGCCGGACCTGTCCCTCCACAGGAGGAAAATTCGAAAATAGGCCAAAAATGGTCTGGGAGGGTGTTTCGTATTTTGGAGCATGTTTGGAACACCTTTGGGGTGTTGAGATTAGTTTTCGTCCCAAATCCGCGTGTCGAAAAACATGCCCGACCTCACTGTACCCTCACCCGAAGTTGTCCTCGTCCTGGCTCCTTCCAGCCTGCCCGCCACTGCCCGAAACACCCACACTTTTTTTTTACCAGCGCAAGACACGCCCTGTGGCGAGAGGCGGAAGGGGAAACGCGCAGGAGGGAGGGGGGGAAGGGAGCAGGGGGAGGGGAGGGAGGCACACGCGCCCGCGCGCGCGCCGGGCCCGGCCGCGGCGGCCGGGGCAGCACCGCAAATCAATGGGGCGCGCCTGGGCGAGCAGCCGGGCGCCCTCGGAGGGCCGCCCGCCGATCGGCCTCGGCGCCCCCGGCTCGCCCCGCCTCGGACCGGCAGCACGCGCACGTCTGCCTCGCTGCCGCTTGCAATTCAAAAAACATGAAAATAAAAAACAGTCTGCCTCGCTGCCGTGGGCCGCAGGGCCCGGGGCCAGGTCGGGCGTGCCCCCCTGCAGGGGGATTCTCGACGAACAAAAACTCCAAACGTACGCCAAAATGGCCAAACAAATAGTCACAACAAACTATTATTGGGACTGTTTTTGGATATTTTGGGACTATTCTTGGGACTATTTTTGGGTATTCCTTGGGACTGTTTTTGGACTGTTTTTGGGACTGTTTTTGGGATTGTTTTTGGATATTTAATCGCTTCGCTCATTCCGCTGGCCCATATCGCGCACCGCCGTTGACTGGCCGAGTGGCCGTCGGCAGTGCGGAGCTGCAGGTGGCGGGGGACTCAGGTTGTGCCTCTTTTGTCGTGTCGGACGGTGGCAGGCGTTGAATGGGAACGTTGATTCTCGTGTAGTGCTGATGTCCTCTGTCGTTGCGGACGCGGGCGGCAAGGAAAAGTTTTTTGTTTCTCCTCTTCGTCCTGTTTTCTTGCGTGCTGGGGGGGCATTTGGGTGGCCTGCAGGGGCCGCTTGGGGGCTTCTTGGGGGCCTCCTGAGGGCCTGTTGGGGGCCTCTTTGGGGCCTCTTAGGGGCCTCTTGGGGCCTCCTGGGGACTTCTGAGGGCCGAGGGCTCGAAATATTGTTTCGTGTTCCCCCCCTGGGGCCTCTCTTGGGGCGTCCTTGGGGCCCTCTTGGGCCGTCTTGGAGCCCTCTTGGGCCGTCTTGGGGCCCTCTTGGGGGCCTCTTGGGCCCTCTTGGGGCGGTCTTGGGGTCTTCTTGGGCCGTCTTGGGGTGTCGTGAAGCCGAAAAGGTGGAAACGTGAAAATTCATCCAAAACCTTAGGAAAAGCAATGAATTTTGCCTCTCGGGGCCCTCTCGGGAGTGCTTTTGGAGGCCTCTTGGGGCGTCTGGGGGCCATCGTGGGCGTCTTGGAGCGATCTTGTGGCATCTCGGACCCCTCATGTAGCATCTTGAAGGCCTCTTGGAAGCCTCTTGGCCCTTCTTGGGGCTCTCGGGGACGTCTCGGAGCCGCGTTGGTGCGCTGCTGGAGCGCCCTGGTGACTCCTCCCGGGACTCTCTCAGGACCTTGCCGGGGTACTTTCCGCCCGGGGACCCCCAGGGGCCGCCCCGCGCGCGCGAAGTAGAAATATAGAAAGATTGTAAAGCAGTCGCCGGAGATCTTAGCACGCCTCTGGCCCGTTGGGCCGGCGAATTTTTAGTGGGACTGTTTTTGGACTGTTTTTTGGACTATTTTTGGGACTGTTTTTGGACGAACTATTTTTGGGACTGTTTTTGGATATTTTTGGGACGGTTTTTGGATATTCCTCCAGAGGCGCGCGCTCGTCCGTGCGGGATCGGGCCGCCGGGCCGCCCGCGGGCGCCCCGCGGGCGGCCCCCGCCGCTCGGCGAGCGCGCCCCACGGCTCGCAGAGTGCCTGCGGTAGGTTTGCGACGTGTCGACCAGCGGCGACCCCAGCGCGGGCTTTCAAGGTTGAACGCCGACGGCGGCCCAGAATCGATCGATGTTGAACGATCGGACGTTGCGGCAGCGGCCGATCGTTCAAGGTTGAACGATCCCTGCGGTGTCAAAAGCCAATGCTGGGGTCGGCACGACACGAACCTGCCGTGCTCTCCTTTGCATCGCTCGGGCGTGTGCATTTTTCCTCGGCGAGAGCCATCGAGGACCATCCTGGACCATCGAGGAAGAAAACAACACGCGCGAAACCGAAAAATGCACGGGTAATGGACGTCCGAGCGACGGCAAGACTCTCGGGGGCGGCAAAGAGGGGGGTGAGGACTGGGCGGGGTGGATCTCATGGCGTGGGCCATGATAGTTCCTCAGATTTCACGGCGCCCCTCTTCTTTCCTGACGTTCCTGGCCCCCCCGCTGGGCCGCGCACGTGTGCCGCCGGCCGTGATTTGCGCCCCCCCCTCTTGGCCGCCCCCGATACTCGCAAATGCCCAGACAACACAGGCCTGCCTCGATGCGGTGCGTCGTAAATCCCCCGCGGCGGAGCCCAGGCCGTTCTGCGAGGCGCTGCTCCTGCGAGCGGTGCAGCGCGCTCGTGTCAGCCTGCGTGGGCGCCTCGGCTCCTTCCTTGTCCTCCCGCGGCCGCTCCCTCCCCGCCCTCCCCCTTCTGGCATCCGGACTAGTTCGCCGTGGCCGTGTCCCGGCCTGCCCCCGCGCGCGGTCTGCGCGGCCGCGCTGCGGCGCAGAAGTATAGTCCTCGGGCCTCTCCGGGGGCGCCCGGACGTCCGACGCCTCGATTTTTTGTTCGGGGCCCTGGCCCCCGACCTCCCTCCCCGACCACCCCCAGACGTCGGGCGCCTCGAAGCAATCGAGGCGGAGGTTCTTCGCAGTTTTTTGGCCTCTCGGGGCCCTCGCCGGGCCTCGGGACCGTCAGCAAGACCACTCGGGGTGAAAAGATCGTCCTGGGGAAGTGGTCGGGAGGTCGGGGGCCCGCGTCTCGAACAGCATCGAGACGTCGGATGTCTGGGGGCGGAGGTCCTTCGTCGTCTTCGGCCTCTCGGGGCCCTCGCCCGGGCCCCAGGGCCGCCAGAAATCGGCTCGGGACGAAGAACGGGTCCCGGGGAGGCCCAGACATCCGACGTCTCGACTTTGTCGAGACGCGGGCCCCCGACCTCCCGACCACTTCCCCGGGAAAATATGTTCATCTCGAGTGCTTTTGTTCACGGTCCCGAGGCCTGGCGAGGGCCCCGAGAGGCCAGGAGAACTACGAAGAACCCCCGCCTCGATTTGTTCGAGGCGCCCGAGGCCTGGGTCTCGACTGCCTTCGGGGCGCCCGAGGTCCGGGGGGACTAGGGGAGCAAACAGTGACAGAAACATTCGGAGGTCCGCCCGGATTTCTTGGATCCGCGCTGGACCCCCTTGTCGGCGCCTCCGGCGCCGCCCCTGGCGCGCTCTGCGCGCCAGGGAGGGGGTCCACCGCGGATCTCGGAAATCCGCGCGGACCTCCGACTTTTTTAATGTTTATATTATTTGTCGTTTCCCTATCCAGAGCCGGGGCCCCGCCTCCCGCCCTGGCATACAGGGCTTCTGGCGGCCCTGCAGCTCCGGCACCTCCCTTCTTGCTGGGCCCCGCCCTGCACTGCTGCCGCTGATACCTCCCCTTGGCGCGCCCGCGATGCCGTCCCGCGCCCGCTGCCAGGGGCTGCCCACCAGCCTGGCCGCCCCGCGCGCCCCGCTGCGGCCTCTCCGCGTGAGAGCGTCTACTCTTTTTCGCTTCCGCTTCTCTGCGGCCGTCCCTCGTCTTCTCCTCCCCTCTTGCTTGCAGGTAAACTCGCGATACCGTGGCCTGGATTGCCTGGGCGCGCGTGCGGACTGCCCTTTCACGATGCGACGCCAAACATGTTCCACACGAGCTGCAGAAACGAGGGCTTCTAGGTATTTGGGAACGTCAAGGAAGTATCCTGAGCTACTCGTCGCATCGTGACATCGCTCGTCCAATCCTCCTCCTCCTCCGCCTCCTCCTCCTCCTCTTCCTCCTCCTCTTCGTCCTCTTCGTCCTCGTAGTCCTCCTCTTCCTCCTCCTCCTCCTCTTCCTCCTCCTCCTCGTCCTCCTCCTCCTCCTCTTCTTTCTGACTTCGGAGTCTTAGGCAGCCCCAGCGCCCATTGCGAGGATTTTGGGGTTGTGAAATGGGATCTCTTCTCCTCTGGTGGACCCTCACCGTGCGACCGTGCGGCCTCCGAAGAGGCCATGCAGACGAGGTAGGCCTTGCGGCACCCGTGGTCGAAGCGCTCATCTTGAACACATCGCAGGGGCGGACAAGCGAATGCCCAGTGGCCCTGGCGCGGCGCAGAGCCCAGAGTCCAGCCCTCCTCCTCCTCCTCCTCCTCCTCCTCCTCCTCCTCCTCCTGCTCGGTCGGTCGGCCACAGGGCAGAGCTACAGCCAGGACGCCCAGAGAAGGACGGGTCTGGGTTCGGGAGGGGCCTTTGGTCTTCGGGCCGCTTTTCTCGGATCCAGGCTGGGGGGACCTGCTCGTGGTGGAAGTTCGCCGTGGGCAGACGAGCCACTTGGTTCTCTGCTCGGCGCCACCGGTTGCAGCACGACGGCTGCGCGACGCCCAGAGCTCACAGTGCAGCTTGCGCGAGGGTGAAGATCGAAGGAAGAGCACCATGAACATAGACTGTTGGCGCTCTGCGAGGACTTCTTGGATCCGCGCTGGGCCTCCCCGGGGGCGCCTCCGTCGCCGCCCCTGGCGCGCTCCGTCCAGCGCAGATCTAAGAAATCCGCGCGGAGCACCACACGTTTATGTTTATGCCTTCTTTTTGATGAGCAGCGCTAGCCTTAAATCGGGCATGTCCCTCTACAGGAGGAACATTTAGAGACAGTCAGAACATAGTATGGGGACGATTCTGTTACCATGTTTGAGTATTATTTTTAATCTTTTTCGCGATTTCCCATTTTTCTCCAGAATCCACTTGTAGGAGGACGGGCCCGACCTAACGCTAGCCTCGGTACCGATCTGTTCTCCGTGTTTGGGCCTTCCGCCCCCCGGACAGTTCTTCGTTTGGGGCCCAGGAGCTCGTGCCCTTGACACGCGCTCTCGTGGCCACGCTCCGCTCGTCGAGGGGGGAGGGCGGCAGGCAGGCAGGCCGCAAGCCCCAGCGGCCCGCCTGAGGAGAGCCCCCCTTCCGGGAGTCCTGCGACATGCTGGCTCCCGAGGCCCTCGGGGCCGAGGCCGTGAACCAGGACGAGGGGGGGGGAAGGGGACGACGACAAAACTGATGGTTTGTTTTTCTCTCCCACCACCACTACCAGCCCATCAAGAAGGGGGGAGAGGGCACGGTCGGCAATTTTTTGGATAGCGTGTCGTTCCGCCCGTTTTGGCCCTCCGCGCCTCGGTGCGACACGCTGTCCAGTTCGCTGTCCCGAGGCGTCCACGTGCCGTACTTTTCCGATCTTGCCTTCCGCGCGAAGCGGAGCGACAGGCATAGCGTGTCGCTGGGGCCGCCGCGGCGACACGCGATCCAAAGTTCCCGACCGTACCCGAAGAAACGCAAACATGGGCCAAGGCGTGTGAATCAGCAGCGGGTATCCTGCGGCGTCCCACCACCATACGAATACCATGTGTGCCTCGCCCCCACCAGAGGCGAGGCGCGCACCGAAACATCTTATCGTATATGCGTCGTGGCGGGCGCTTTCTGGCCACACCGCTCGGGAAACAATCTACTACAAGCTGGGCATACTATATGTTCGGGTCGGACGCGCGCGCGCCTCCAAGGAGGACATACAGTCAACCCGCATAGTGAGGATGGGCGACCTTCCCAAGGGTACCCTTGCATCCTTGCCTCCTCGGTCCATCCTTCGCCACTTTCGTCGGGCGCGCCCCGCTCGAAGAGCTTCGAAATGGGCGTCCAAGGCTTTTGCATCCTTGTCGCACATCCTTGCTGTACGGGTTAACTGTATCACGTGTGAATCTAAACGGTGTTCTGGCGATTTCGTTGGCCGTTCTCGCTTCGACTTCGTTTTGCGGTAAAGGCGGAATGGAAGACAAAGCGAAAACGAAAGCACCATTTAGGTTCAGCCCTGGACTGTATCTTGGCATCGCTCGGACGTGTGCATTTTTCCTTCGGCGAGGACCATCGAGGAGCATTCTCGATCATTTGGCGAAGAAGCCACGCACGAAACCAGCAAACAAACACAGGACATGGACGTCCGAGCGATGGCCAGGTATAGCGTCAGCATCTCTCTGTGCGTCCCGCGGGGCGTGTGAGCTAGCAGCGGGCCTCCCCTCCGTGCGGGCACGGCGCGCGAGCCGCCGCCGGAGCAGGTGGCACGGGCCTCCCCGTGTTCGGGGGGGGGCCCTCCCCGCTCTGTGGCTCCTGGCACTCCCGCGCCAGAGCCACGGATCCCCAGTGGAGCGCTTTACAGTGAGCAGCTTGAATAAGGAACACTTCCTTTTCAAAAGGGGCTCGGTCGTTCCTTGGGTTTGCATGCGCTCTGCTACCTTTTTGGCGGCGAGCCCCCCTGGTGTTCCTTCGGACTTCGGAGACTCACTTGGAACGACAAGGGGCTTCGTTCCTTATTTATCGTTCCGTAGGTCAGGCCGATGACTGTAGCGGGCCACGAAGCGCCATACTGGGCGGGGGAGGCGCGGGCGAACACCGCCACTGGGGTCTCTGGTGGAGCTCCCCATGGGGCCACGAAGCGCTGTGCCTTGGCATCGCTCGGACGTGTGCATACTTCCTTCGGCGAGGACCATCGAGGAGCATCCTTGACCATTTGGCGAACAAAAACCACGCACGAAACCGAAAAAAGCACAGGGAATGGACGTCCGAGCGATGGCCAGGTGCTGGGTGTGGGAAAACGCGTGCATGCGGACACCGCCATTGGGCACTGGGGCCTGCGGTGGAGCTCCCTATGGGGCCGCGAAGCGCTGTACTCCATGTTAGTGTGCGCCCGAGAGTGGGGAACAACAAAAAAGGAGGACGTGGGAGACGGGGGAGGCGGAGGGAACATCGGAAAAAAACGGATGGGGAAGGACAGGAGGAAGGCAGGGGAGGAGGATGAGGATGGGGAAGGAAAGCAGGAGGGCAGATGAGGATGAGGATGTTGTCCTTGTGTGCACCTCCTCGCAGGACCAGTGGCTCCTGCGCGTCAAGTCGAGGGTGAAGCAGGGTGGCATGTCTCAGGCCTGGAGATTGTGTGCTGTTGGAGCAGCAGGAGGAGAAGGAAGTGGGAGGAAGAGGATGAGGAGGGATGCGCAGGTTCGAGAGTCGAGGCTTTCGAAGATTTCTCGTCTTTATGGGGCGAAGGCGTCCCGTACCTATTGACGCTTCGCACCCCCACAAACCCATGCAGAAACGACGCCCTGCAGACGATCAATAGGGGGGACAGCCGTTATCTTTCGAAGAGGTTGGAGGAGAAAGAATAATGACGCCAAGGAGGATGAGGGAGATAGGAAGATGCGTAGTTGGAAGAGGAGGGCGAGCAAAAGGAAGCGGAATCTGACGGAACACGTTCCGACTCAATGCATGGTGAACCTTGGGTTGGAAGCGGAATTGGAGGGCCATGATGTGTGATGTGGTGATGGGGAAACCGAGGATTGGGCAGAAAGAAGGCGACGACGACGGGATTCAAACATAAATGCCTTCGTGGATCTTTTGTTCTGGGAGCCTCTTGAAGCCATCTTGGAGCCCTATATGGGACATTTTGGTGGGAGCCCCTGAAGCCCTCTCCAGGATATCTTGGGACCCTCTCAGGGGGAACTGGGGCCATACCGGAGCCAGCCAAGGGGGGAATGTCGACTTGGGCTGCGTGTGTGTGTGTGTGTGTGTGTGTGTGTGTGTGTGTGGATGTCCTGGCGGGGGCCACGATGCCTCCCCAGATGTCGTGGCGCCTCTTCTCGTTTCCACGTCGCTGGCCCCCCCTCCTCCTCCTCCTCCTCCCCCTCCCCCTCCTCCCCCTCCTCCCCCTCCCCCTCCTCCTCCTCCCCTCCTCCTCCTCCTCCTACTCCTCCTCCCCTCCCTCCTCCTCCTCCTCTCCTCCTCCTCTCCTCCTCCTCCTCCTCCTCCTCCTCCCTCCTCCTCCCCTCGGGGCCGTGCACGTGCCGCTGGCCACGGCCTGCGCCCCCGCCCCCCTCCCCCCCCCCCATGGAGACGCTCCCCTCCGGCGGAGACCTCCCCGAGGGGCGGCGGAGGGCGCGAGACGCCGCAGAGAGACGAGACTCGCGGGCCGCTGGCGGGGGCCGCCGCGAGGGCGCGGAGTTCGTCGCGCCTCGCTGCCTGGGCGATGATGATGATGATGATGATGATGATGATGATGATGATGATGATGATGATGATGATGATGATGATGATGATGATGATGATGATGATGATGATGAGGAGGAGGAGGAGGAGGAGGAGGAGGAGGGAGAGGAGGAGGAGGAGGAGGAGGAGGAGGAGGAGGAGGAGGAGGAGCATCGAGGACGCCTCTGGTCGAGGGCCCGCGGAGGCGGGGGCCTTCGGGGACCTGCTGTCCAAGGCGGGGACTTCTCCAATAATCAGAGCGCGGCGAAGCTGATCGCGTTTCGCGATGCACGCAGCGCGGAGCGCGAAGGGGATAATCCAGAAGCCGCATTAAAGTGATCATTGAGGCCCTCTGTGACAGAGGGGGTGTTTTTCGGAGGCCCTCTGTGACAGAGGGGGTGCGTTCGGAGGCCCTCTGTGACAGAGGGGGTGCGTTCGGAGGCTCTCTGCGACAGAGTTGCTCGTCATCCCGTTCCTCGTCATCCTGCTTCTTGATTTCGGATATGTCATGCTACCACTGCGCTCATCATCTTTGCGTCTGTGATCCTCGTCGTGTTTTTCCATGCGTCCTTTTCACAATTTCCACCACATTATCCTCCGTTGCCGTTCTGGCCCGCCATCTACCTCGTCACTCTCCTTCGTCTGCATGTCCTTATTCTTTTCCGCTCTTTTTTCGCCTCCCCTCTGGTTCGATTTCCGCTCTTCGTCCACTTCGTTCATTCGTTTCCAACCCCCCTTCCTTTCAAGTTCTCCGCCGTCCAATCACGTCGCGTCGTCCGCCGCCGCTATGCTCAAACCACCCCGCGCCCGTGGGATCGCCCGCGAGCACCGGTGCAGCTGGGCCCGTCGCGGCCTAACGCGCGCCTGCGCCATCGTCTTGCAATGGGCGATGCAGGCGGATACACATGGGATGGCGCGGGAGGATGGTGGGATAGCCGCAGCAGCGGCTGGCGTGGCTGGGAGGACGGCCATGATTGGTCAGCGAGGGGTTGGAGAGACTGGCGACAAGACGGGCACACGCCAACGGAGGACGCCAAATGGCGCGATGGCCCTGCCGCCGCAGCAGCGGCGGCGGTCTCGCCTCAACGGCCGTCTCGCTTCGCCGCGCTTAGCGTTGTGAGCCCCCGCGCCCCTGGTCTCGGCAAGCCCGAATTCGATAATTTCGTGAGGGCTGCCCTCCGAAACGTACCAGAACTTGGGAACACAGTTTCAGGAGAGGGGTCGGGATCCCGAGCCGCGCCTGCGGCGCAGGAGCCCCGCGCCACCGCAGCGGCGGCGGCGCGCGGGCCCCAGGATTTTGAGAAGTTTGATGTTAATTGTTTTTTGAGTTATGAAGAGAGGCTCGGCACTTCGTTTCAGCAACGCAATCAAGCGTTGAAATGGTGGCGCCATCTGAATGAAGACCCGACTGCCCCGTTCGAGTCAGAAGCCAAGTGGTTTGACAATGCGAAGCCCACCATGGTCGATGTTTGCGACCACGGTGCGAGGACGAGCTTTGGTTTCAAAAGCGACGAGGAAGTCCCTTGGCGGTGGCAAGAGATGGTGGCGACGCTCAGGGAGGAAGATATCAGGGAGGTCGTGGAGGGGCCCCGCAGCAGCGGGGCTCTGATCGGCTGTTCCCTCGAAGTCCGGCCAAACAGCTACGACCACATGCGTCAGAGTATTGCGCGCGCGCGACAGTTCGCGGGGCAGCGGGTGAAAGTGAAGCTGCCGATGTGGGATTTCGTGTTGCACCGCGACGACGGGACAGGCGTCCGTTTACACCCGCACTGGGGCGACAGGAAGGTCGAAGCTCTGCCCCTCGTCCCCCACGCGGACACGGTGAGGCCACCAACCGCGGGTTTGGGCGGGAGCGACGGGTCAGGAACTTTTCGCTGGTACAAGGACCTCGGTGTGGAGCGTAAGGTCAAGTTCGACGCCGCCGGAGAGAAGGGGAGGCCGACGCCCTCTCAGGTGCCCCGCAGCAGCGGGGCCGCGGCGCCCAGCACCAGGCCCTCGGCGCCCGCAGCAGCGGGTGGCAAACAGTAGTTTTGGGACCGAATAACTCCCCAGACGATTTGGTTTCGGAGTAGATGGCTCCGCAGCAGCAGCGGGGCTCGAATGAAGGGCGCGTTGCATTTCTGCAGGGGCGCGCGCGTCGGCCGCCGAGATCGGGGGCGCTCGTGCAGGCGCCGTGGCGCGATCTTCGTAAAGAAGTCTTCCCTCTCCTCCCTGTCCCCCCATCCCGCCGCCCTCAACGTCGGCTCCTCGCCGCCCGTTCCTCGTCGCTCCACGCCTGTTCGTTCTCCTCCAATTTCCTCTCCCGCTTCCTCGTTCTCTCCTTCCCATTTTTCCCTCCATCCCATTGCGTCCCTGGCACCCCAGCGAAGTTCGCAGTTCGAAGTTTGAAGTTCGGAGTTCGAAGGTTGCAGTTTGAATTTCGAAGCTTCGCACTTCGAGGTTCGATCTTCGAACCTTCGTCATCTCGTCGTCGTAATCGTCGTCCTCGTTCGTCGTCGTCGTTCCTCGTCGGCGTCGATTGTCGTTGTCGTCGTCGCTCGTTGTCGTCGTCGCCGTCGTCGTCGTGGTCGGCGTCGTCGTCGTCGGTCGTTGTCGTCGCTAGTCGTCGTCGCTGGTCGCCGTCGTGGTCATCGTCCTCGTCGTCGTCGTCGTGGTCGTCGTCGCCCTCGTTGTCGCCGTCGTGGTCATCGTCGTCGTCGTTGTCGTGAAACGCCCCACGTAGGAGGAGCAGAGAAGGGAGTAAGGAGAAATGAGCACGGTGGAGGGAGGAGGGAGGATTGAACAGGAAGAGGAGGGTGCAGATGGAGGTAGAAGGGATGAGGTAGTTCAGAAGTGGGAGCAGCAGACTGGCGCAATGGGAAAAGCCATGTGAGTGCAGGGAGGGATGGAAATGCGATAAAGTGAAGCCGCAGCCGTTGCAGGTCTGCCTCCCGCCGCGCCCGCCCGCCTCCGCGACTGGAGCCGCGCAGGAGCCTCTGCCGAAGTCTCCGCAGCAGCGGGGACTGCCAGAGGAGGCTCCTTCGCGGTTTTTGCGCCGCTATGGCGAGCATCGCGGGCAAGTACGACGTCGATGACTTCGAGCTCATCACGACGGAGGGCAGTGTTTGGCACTGGGCGACCATGGTGGTGCGGTTTCTCCAGTGGCGCAATCGTTGCCGCCATGCACGCGCCGTTGGAGTGAAGGGCCAGATGCTCGTCGACCAGGCGCGGCAGATGATGGAGGAGGCGCGCCGTACCGAGGAGATGGGCAAGATGATGCCTGAGATGTCGAAGAAGAAGGTGAAGGACATCCCAGGCAATATTCGGTACTTTTGCCGCCAGCCGCACCAGGGGAGCTGAGCGGCGATCGGGGCTGGGCCGATAGAGGAGGACGAGGAGGAAGAGGAGGGGGGATGAGGAGAGGAGGAGGAGGGGGATGAGGAGTTGGAGGCAGCACGCGCACCCGCACTAAGAGCCGCCAGCCGCGCCCGTCTCCGAGCATGAAACCCGAGCTCGGCTGGAAGGGGGGAGGGCGGTAGCAGAAACAGCGCAGGACAGGGATGGGAGAGGTCACGCATCCGCCGCATTAGCGGCGGTGGTACGACAGTTCTCATGGCGGCGCGGCGGTCGCTGAGAAATGGAGCACGTGCGTGGGCCTGCGTGCGCTTAATTATGAGTGGCTCTCGTCCCCTCCCCTCCTCTTCCTCCATGAGATCTCTCTCCTGGTGCATATCCCCTGCCAGTGCTCGTCCTGCTCCTCTATCCGCCCCCCCTCGTCCGTTCCTGCCACCAGCCACATGGGGCGTTCTCAATCAACACCCCATTGAGTGTCCCCATGTGAAGGTTGCCCTTTGTCATGAGGGCGGACTCGCAAGAGCCGAGTGGCTGAAGAACTAGTAGTTTGGGGTCCGAACAGCTCCCCA